GTTGGGTGCCAGAATCTACGTAATACAGCCTCAAATTAGAAATTTGATCGCATATCTGCTACCACTGCCAGATAAAAAACCGACGACAGCTGTGGTTAAACGCGATAAAACTAGCAGACTGGACAGAAACGATCGTCAAAAATGCTCGCGTTTGCAGCGCACACTTCTTATCAGAAAAGTTTCAATAAAGTAGTCTTTTGTTGTTATGGGCGTCTACAGATTCCTTGCCATTTGTCTATGTTGCTTGCATCTCACGACTATGATGTGTATGAAATAATGTCTGTGTGCATGTGTGTAAAACAACAAACTGACGATTTATATATAATCATTTGTAATTGTATATACATTGTTGTGATTAATTGTGGCTGGAAAAATAATGTAACTTAACTGTAAAAATATTTGTCTGCTGAAATTGAAATGTATATACATCTTCATCAATACTAGATAGATACGGTGAGTTTGTCTTTACTATGCATGTTAGATGTGATCCACCTCAGTAACAATCCTGTCAGATCGTCCATCCTTTGAGTGAGAGTGTAAAGTTACAGGGCGGCCGATCTGGTTTCGTGGTTAAAGATAACCTTTTCGACATGTTTCGGTGTTGTCGATGCTCAGCAATAGCATGGATGCGATGTTGTCTGGGGGTTTGGCAAAAGGATGTTTTCTATTAGCAGTGAGCGTTTTGTGCGCTGTTTATGCGCCCCGGGCGCCTCGCGTTTTAGCCACCTGCTGCGCCTCGCATTTTTGCAGGAGCGCTCTAAGCACTCACCATGCTATCATGAATTAAGATCTCTTTCGCGGCTTATTGCACTTGAATGGCCAAATACACACACAATTATGCCAAAATAACCATTGTGTGGAGTATTAAAGTAAACAGCTATTTCCTATGTGAACATAAACCGTTAGGAGAAACTCACATGTGTATCAGTATATAGGGTCCGTACATTCGTTCTTAAAGTAACATGAGGAACTTTGTTGCCATCTGTTTCATTAATGTTAATCAAACAAAAAGAGAGAGAGAGAGAGAGAGAATCACTCAGTAATTTTAACTGAATCCCTTTTCTATCTTTATTAAGAATCAATTTATAGTTTATTCATACAGCGAAGACTATGCAGTGTTTTAGTTTTACATATGATTATTCAATTTCTGTAGTGTTTCTTATTACATGTCAGAATCAATTTGAATCAAATTGTGAGGTATCAAAAGATTTCCACCCCTAGAAAAACAGACTATGTAGTTCCTAAAAATATTAGCATATGCACATGTTCCAACATTACAGAAATGGCCGTTGTATTGGCTGTTGTATCTGGGTAACCAGAATGTTCCTTGTTCGATCTCTGCTAGCAGTGAGCCACTATTGTGACCTTGAACAAAGCGTTTAACCCCAGGTTACTCCGTGTGAATGAGTTCTGTAATAAGTTTATGGTGCTGTTCTATGAAGCATCACGTAAAACTACCACTGGCCCCAAAATATTGATCACAAGTGTAATATAACTTTTATACAACAGTTCTATAAAGAAATTGTTAATATCGAGTGACATTTCCAACACAATGCGGCTCCTTTTACTTTGCCAATGACAATGTTTTACAACGTTGTGAGCTATATAATTGTGATTCTAGAGAGAAATTGATACAGTGATACAGTGAAACGTTTGAGTGCACAGACAACGACGCTCGGCCTAAAAAATGGCTCAAGCATAACTAATTGTTTTATAACAGTGCCAAGCTAGAAACTGGAGCCCACCAGCCGCTATGTAACATTATCAAGTGACTGATTTATTGTTTTTGAATGGATGTAAACTCTCATTTCTCCTTCAACTCTGTCGGGTCATTTGTTCGCTCTGTTTTTTGGTTTGGCATTCAGCGGGGCAGCAGTAATCCTGAATTAATCACTCCTGTCAGATTTCTATCACATGGACCACCAGCAGTTGTGAAATGTCCACGTACCTTTATATTGACAGGAAGAGAATGCCTTTCAAGTCAAGTCACCTTTATTTACAGTATGTTGCGCTTTATACAATACTGATTGTGTCAAAGCAGCTTTACAGTGTTAAACAGGAAAATAGTTTGTCAATAATGCAAGAAGACAATAACAAAGAGTCATTTTTCCAGTTAAAGTCAGTTAATTGTTGATTTAGTGATGTCATTCAGCTCAGTTCAGTTCTCTTCCAATAGTATCTGTGCACTCAAGTCAACAATGTTGCCAGAAATTAAGCGTCCCCAACTAAGCAAGCCAAAGGTGACAGTGGCAAGGAACCAAAACTCCATCGGTGACCGAAATGGAGGGGAAAAAAACCTTGGGAGAATCCAGGTTCAGTCGGGGGGGCCAGTTCTCCTCTGGCCAGACGAAACCAGCATGGCGTGGTTTAATTCCAGGCTGCAACACATGTCGGATTGTGCAGAGGACTCATCTGGTTCTAGTGGTCTTGTGCCGATGGTCGTCTAGTTGATGAGTTCTTCACAGGGGATCTGTCTCTAGGGTTCGTCTAGTTGACGTGGTCTCCGCTGACATTCAGGGTCACCATCTAGACTCTTTCATTTCCTTTCAAACCGACGTATCCCAGAAACACACACACACACATGCATAACTATAAACCAAATTTACCTTCGATTCAGCACCAAATACTGTCATCAGCATTCAGAGAGCAGAAGATCAATATTGAACAGAATATGCCTTTGTGGCCCTCGGTTGGGCTGTTACGCCGTTATTGCTTTTTCATCGTGGTGATATTGCTTTTTGTTGTTGATGTGGTTTTTATTAGTTGTGGGATACAAAGAGTTTCTTTAGCTCAGTGTCAGAGTAAATGAGTAATGTGCTGTTCAGGATCTTCAGCCCTTTCTTAAATGAAAACTTCACCCAAACATGGAAAAAAACACCATTTATTCACATTTTCTCACATTATTATATGTCTGTTTGATTTTGTTTTTTCTTTTTCACCATTGAAAACCCAGTGTAAATTGATACAAGAAGAGTTTTTTTTAATTTTTATTCTAACTGCTCATGTTTGCTGAATGAGGCCAACTGAAAGCATGAAGTTTTGGGGGATCAAGCTCAAAAATGATAAAAAGCACCATAATTGCATCATACAGCCAGTAACACTAGTTGACCCTCCAACATAGCAGATGACAGTATTGCAAATTAATGCTGGTTGCCGCCCATCATAAAATAGAAAAACAATGAATTCTGTATGAATGCCCCAGTCTGAAGGAAGTGCTGATGAACAGCAATTTGTTTTTGTATGCTATTGTGCAGTTACGGTTACAAACTGTCTCTCCAAGTCTCCACACTTGTATTTTGCTAGCTGGTGTTTCTCACACAAAAGGCTTAAAAAAAAAAAGGAAAGCAAAAAAATGCATTTATAAGGCAATTGACTGTTGTAATTAAATATGAGTTTTCAACTTTCATGTGCTCGTGAGATCTGGAATTCATGGGTTCTGTTGGTCTTTGGTTTGACTTGAGAGTTTAGCAGACCGAACGGGAGAGACAGAATCCTTCTGTAGTGCATGGGCTGTCACATCCTTGTTTTTCGGTTGGTCTCCCAGTCTGCAGGAGAAATACGATTTGGTTGGTGAATATGTGCAGATTAAGAAGACTTTGTGTGGAGACGCATACAGAGAAATCCTGGACTGAAACACCATGCTCGGCTCAGTAGACAAATGGAGAATGAGATGAGTGTAAATGGACGGATCAGTGTGCTCTCTGTGTGCTCTCATTATAATGCATTTCACTCAAACTGACCTAAAACACGCATGTGTATACTTGTGTAACCCTCATGTGTGCAAACTGCTTGTGTCTGCTAACACCTTCTAAATATAAAGGAGTGGAAGCTTGTGTTTTCAGGTCAGAGTTACTATGGAGAGAACCTTCAGCCTCAATTCCCATTTGTTAGCAAAAGTAATGATGCAAGTGTGTGTTTGTATGTCACCTAATTAGAAGACATATGAGTTGTACCATCTGGATGGTTTCCAAGGCTTTGATTCAGAGTGAAACTCCTAAATATTCTCTACCAAGTACCAACGCCTACACAGCAAAGTTTAATACTGGGGGTTCAAACCACTGGTGACTCCCGGGCTTTATTGTATTGAAGTTGCTTCTGAACAATTGTTAATAACGTAAATCCACTTCCTCATCCATCATCTGTCTGCCTCTCTCATTTTCAGACCACCTCAGGAGAAGACATGCGAGATTTTACCAAAGTCTTAAAAAACAAGTTCCGCTCAAAGAAGTATTTCGCGAAGCACCCTCGCCTGGGATACCTGCCCGTCCAGACGGTCCTAGAGGGAGACAACATGGAAACGTAAGTGACTTGAAAGTTGTTCTGTATATTTGTGTTGCAATTTGTTTGAATTTGACTGTCCTCAGGCTTTGTCTTGCTGCCGCCTCCAGTCATTATCTGTCTGGAGAGCTTTTACAGCCTTCACGCAATGCGCTTATTCACATTGCAAGGTTTGAAGAACTATTGAGAAATGTGAGGAATGTGTCATTATTTTCATTGTTTTAAGGCCAGGACCAGGGGTGTAATGGTACACATATTCGTATCGAAAAGTTTTGGTACGGGTCTTTCGGTTCGGTACGCATGTGTACCGAACAAATACAGCATTGGTTTAACCACTGCACGAGCGGAACTTCATTGGAAACTTCCTCTTTTATTGTTACTTTTTATCATCTTTCAAATTGTCAATTTTTTTCAGAAAATTCAAACAATAAATGCTGTTTTGACGCTCTTTGATGTGTCACGACAGATCGCTGTATAAACTGCTCAGTTCAGCGCTTCAACGCGATCATCCCTTCCTCTTTACTACTAGTTTTAACGCGAAATAAACATGAATGAACATCTCACTCCTCATGTAATCGCTCAACCAGTGTTTCAACCGCGGAAAGATGCCAATATAACAGCTTGTAAACAAAACGTCAGGTAGCTTTTCATTCACCTCATTCAATCATCAGTGTCCACATCTCGTTAGTGCGCTATAAATGAAGTCTAGAGAAGAGCATTTCACGAAATTAGACTTTATAATCATTATATTGCACTTACCTGTTAGTGATGTCTTCATTATTTAATGAATGTTTAAATAAATATGTTATGAAACAAGTTATGACAGCCACTGTCTAAAATGATTATATTTCAACAACAAATCAAATTTTTATCATTTAAAAGTTAATTTAAAAACTGCAGTATGTGCAATTTACATGTTTGCATACAATTTCTTTTAAGTTGAGTGTTGATTATTATATTTAAAAATAAATAGTAATTACATTTAAATTTGGGCTATGTTGTTAATTGTAACGTTATAGTAATGTTAAAGGGCTCACTATAGTTTAGAGCATAAGCCGAGGGAGATTTTTATTCCTAAGAAAATTTTAATTATAATAAAATTAAAGTTATTTAAAGAGAGCAATTTGTTCAGTAAACCACTGTTTAATAATAAAAAGCAAATTTATGTTTAGTTTTCCCCCTACTGCACCGAAACGGTACCGTACCGTGATGTCAAAACCAAGGTATGCACTGAACCAATTCAAGATGGAAAGCACATGCTAGTTTGCAGTGGGCTGTAGTCTGAGTGGTGTATTCAAGCGTGGTTTATTGGTCCAGACGTAGCCAACGTGAGTCGACAACACGTCTGCTTTAGTCGCCGCTGGTTCTTTCATCGCCGCTAGTTCAAGTCAGCTTGGTGTATCCTGGACTTTAAGTACTTGTCTTTCAAGCGTTTGCTAAATCGTTTTTTTTATTATGGAGTCCTGTAAGAAATCATTTAATTTGCATCAAAATGGTTGTCGTCTTTCTCCAGTGATGAGAGCACCTTCTCAGAGAAGTTGGCCTTTTGATTTCGGCAAAAATCTGTTTGTTTGAAATTCCAACTTGAATGATTTTCTGTCTGTCCAGAAATGTTGATATAACTTGAAATATATCCTCTACACAGAGGCCTGTGCTGTTGTGTGAAAGCCTTTATAACCTGCTCTCTACTCTAAAGATTCGAGCTGGTTGTGATATTTGTTTAAAATCCTAGAAGGCTGTCTACTGATGACCTTCTAAAGGTGTGTTACGTTTGTGAAATGTTGTGTGCAAAAAAAGGTCCATTGTCAATAGTGCAGCGACAAATGAAGCACAACTCACACTGAAGTCACTCAAACCAAGCAGCTTTCTGTTGGCTAGTGTGTTGAATTTGCAAAATTTTTGCCCTTATGCGAAACTCCCGATTACAGGGATTCCTATCAGAAGGACTGGAAATCACCTGCAAAATTTCACTGAGCAGCAATAAATGTGAACGCTCCATTAACTCAGCATTAAGGCAACATTACCTCAAGTAGAACCTATTAAGTGATTATTTGAAGGCTATGAGCAAAGATATGTCACGCATATCTCAACTCTCACGTTCAGTTGAACAAATTCAACAAATTCAAGTTTATGGCAAAGTTAATTTAGCAAAATGCTAAATACACAGTGTAATATGCATAAAACCAACACACATATTAGATTCATTTTTATTTTTTTTATTAATTAGTTACATTTAATAGACCCTTCCGTGACACATTTCCACAGTCACTAAGAATGCTAAGAAATACTATTGTGGATTTTTTTTTTCTATTGCTGTTGGGGCAAATGGAAATGCAAAAATTATATTATACTATAGAAGTGTACCAAACTATGATGATTTCTGCTGCTGAGAACCCTGGGAATGTAAAAAGGGCCCATAATCAACATTTATCTAATTTTGCTTGCCAAATTGCAAGGATTTTTTTCCACTGTACTTGTCGAAATAAATTTTCCGCTAAAGATACATGTGATGCTGGCTTAGAATTTGAACAAAAGAAGGCATCTTGGAAGGCAGCGCGATTATGCAGCCTGTCTTTTGCCCCCGTGTTGGGAACGTGCCTACTGTATGTCTTACAATGCCGCCCTAGGCAGTTCAGTGTTTTTGGAACAGAGCCCAAGTGTGGCAAATTCAAGAAAATAAAGAGTTATGCAGTTCCCACTTCTGCCTTATCTTCATACTACCGTTGATTAAGGCACTTTGGTTTTCCAGTGGGACCATTTCATGAATTTGTGTCAGAAAGAAGCTCCTTCTAAATGACGGGGAACTGCAGATGACCCATTTCTTCAGTTGGTGCTGATTATAAATCCCCATTAGCAGAGCCAAAATGACTGCTCGCACTGCACAGGCTTCCTGTCGTTCCACGTTAGCATGACGTTCAGCCGATCTGAGCGTCGGTGATGGCAAACCATTTCATGTAACGTTTGATTTTCAGGTTTCTGAACAGATATGCTGCGGTGTGCACCAGCATGAGTAAACCCCATCGCCTTGTGTCAGATTTAACAAAGAGTGATGACCGTGGTTGAAATATATTCAGAACCGTTTCCAAAAGCAAAATTAAACCATGCAGTCAAACATGCACCATGTTTGGTTTTCTTGAAATTCTGAAGCGCCAGGGGATATTGACCGACTTTTATTAGCGAGCTCGTGTCTGTTGATTCTGTCAGCACTAATTTACAGAATCCCTCATTACTTTGAGTCCAGCGCTCTGTACATAGTGATACACCAAACCAGCCATTTAACAGCCCAGATAACTGGACCATTTTGTCTTTGACACGACTCATATTTCTCCCTCTTCAGCCGAACTAAAAGTCAACATGAAATCATAATGGACCCTTTTTACATTCTTAATACGTTTTCCTGGTCAAACAAATCATAAGCGCACATTCTTCCATAGAAACAAATGTTGGTCGCCTTCATCTTTCATCAAAATGTAAAAACAGAAACAACTCTACTTGACCAGGTTATGTCTAGATATTGTTAAAGTGATAACGTAATGGAAGTAGCAATGGATATTTTCTTCTGTATTGCGACTTACATCCAAGTTGAAAATGCATCTATGCATCATTTGGATGTTGAGATGTGCGCGTGACACTCAAAAATGAATGTGAGCATGCAATTGATTGTGGAGGGGTGGGGTTTATTTTTAAATAAATGATTATCTTACGTCACCAGAGAGGGAAGTCTGTTGTTTTACTGGAAAATCGCGTTCTGAAAAAAAAACTAAACATGGATGAATCGTTCACTGTAAGATCAATAAGCATGCATTTAGAAAATAAATGGGTTAAATTTTCATTTCATGTTGACTTTAACCAACAGCCAAATAATCTTTTAGGCTGCTATTAAATAAAGCCTTTGCAAAAGCATGCCATTCTTGATCCACTCAATTCCCGATGGATAAACGTTTCACTCTCAGAGTGTCACATTACAAAAGTTAAATGAGCTGTGAAAGCCATTTCATCTTGACTTTTGCTCTTTCCAACAATTTTAAACGTTATTAAAAAGAAAAACGGTCTTTTCCTGCCTCTGTTGACCTTCCTACATAAAACGAAAAGACGTATTGCGACTTACATCCAAGTTGAAAATGCGTCTATGCATCATTTGGATGTTGAGATGTGCGCGTGACACTCAAAAATGAATGTGAGCATGCAATTGATTGTGGAGGGGTGGGGTTTATTTTTAAATAAATGATTATCTTACGTCACCAGAAAGGGAAGTCTGTTGTTTTACTGGAAAATCGCGTTCTGAAAAAAAAACTAAACATGGATGAATCGTTCACTGTAAGATCAATAAGCATGCATTTAGAAAATAAATGGGTTAAATTTTCATTTCATGTTGACTTTAACCAACAGCCAAATAATCTTTTAGGCTGCTATTAAATAAAGCCTTTGCAAAAGCATGCCATTCTTGATCCACTCAATTCCCGATGGATAAACGTTTCACTCTCAGAGTGTCACATTACAAAAGTTAAATGAGCTGTGAAAGCCATTTCATCTTGACTTTTGCTCTTTCCAACAATTTTAAACGTTATTAAAAAGAAAAACGGTCTTTTCCTGCCTCTGTTGACCTTCCTACATAAAACGAAAAGAGTTTGTAAGTCATTCTATGTCATCTGAAGGTCTCATCCTAGACCTCACGTCTCACACCCCTCGATGCCGTGTCAACTGTGAAAAAGACAAAAATGCCCCAATCCTACAGTGTGACAGATGGGAATGCCCCTACTTTTAAAAAAAAAAAGACAAACATGAACCAATCTAACCTTGAATTTCTCATCTTGCAATTATCATCTCATCTGCTATATGGTTTCCTTTAAAAGAAAAAATGACACTTTTCATCATCTCCAAGAGACCCATTAAACTTGTAGAGTAAACTTGTCCCTGTCGAGTCAGAGCAGAGCGTTAGATTTTTTGCGCTTGGTGCTATGTGTGATTAACAGCAAGTTTTCACATGAAAAGACACTGAAATGGAATGAAAATAAATGAAAGATTAAAGATTGGTTTGGAGATCTGATTCCTCTAGTTTTGAGGCCAAATGTTGCTCTAAAGTAATGACACAAACAACGTTGCTTTATTAAAGGGATAGTTCACCTAAAAATGAAAGTTCATAATTTACTCGCACTCATGTTGTTCGAACCCACATGAATTTTATGTAGGAGTCAAAACTAGGCCTTTAGAAGAATGTTCATGCTGTTATTTCCATACAGTGAAAATATATTCAGTGATCAGGGCCAAACCAAAATGCACCATAAAATTACTATATTTATAAAATAATTTGATGGTGCATTTTGAAAACGGATAACTTTTTTTTGCATTTTGGTCATTCATTTACACGCCAACAGGCTTTTGAGGGCCTGAAAACACAAAGATTTGAAAAAAAGTTTTTGAAAACGATAATGTTATTGTAAAAAAAAAAAAAAAAAATCACATTTGTGAAAATCTGCATGCGTATTATGTGTTCCCATAGTTTTTCTTTACAGTGTGGCATCTCCAACTACTGGCCCAACATGCATAATACAGCACTTTAAGTTGTTTTTGTGGTTCCGTGTGAACGGGACTCGTTTTGACAACGTTGTCGTCTGGATGTGAAAAATTCAGTTTTCGTGTAGACATACCCTCAGTATATGTTTTACTTTTTATTTTTTTATGTCTTTTGTTCCACAGAAGAAATTAAGTCATTCAGGTTAAATATGACATGACAGTCAATAAATAATGGCGATATTTCATTACTTTGGTAATCATTTCTCAATCATTCAATTAATCCAGTGTTTCTCAGTATTCTGCACTGCCCCCTACAGTACTGGAGGAGTATTTCAGCCAGAACACTTCCACATCCTTGTGTGTGGATCTGACCTTTACGTTGGGTGACCTCTGACCCTAAAAACAATCTGTTCCTCCCTCCCCTACCCCCACTCCCCCTCCTTTCCCCTCGTTTTTCTTTTTCTTTCTCCCTCTTGCAGTCCGGTCACTCTCATCAGCATGTGTCCGGAGCAGTATGAGTGAGTATCAACAGTCAACCATCAGTCCTCCTCTTCCTCCTTGTCCTTCCTCAGTACAGCATGCAGTACATCCACCAGCACCCCACCCTCCCACTTTTTTTTTTTTTTTTGTCTAACCGTCTTTCTCAGTTCGTCCATCCCAATAACACTTGGCCTTCACTGTAGATCATCAGACACATTTCATGTTTAGAATCATGATTGTCATTGGTTATTTTTGGAGTGTGCTTTTGTTTATGTGTGTGTTTGTTTTCAGGCTTTCTCCATCGCCACAACTCTCTCATGACGACACACACTCACGGATAGGGCAGTACGCCAGCAGGTATATCTCACTTCTGACATTACAGTACACAAACCACACTGATGTCATGCTGCGTTCATGTCATTTAAGAATTAGCATATTTACAGATGTCTGACTAGTTAAGATTAGGGCTGTCAATCACGTAAATGTCAAAGGAATTCTCAAATGAATTGCATGTATCTGTATTGCTAGGGAAAATGGTTACAATTTATTTTAAGGTGGTGTTGTTACAGTGTAATTACACTCCTAAAAGTAAGATTCCTTTTAGTGAACATTTCTTAACAGAACTATGTTTTTTCTTAGTGTGAAGAACATTTTAATAATCTAAAGAACCTTTTTTTCGCACAGTAAAGAGCCTTTTGTGGAATGGACAGATTCCATGGATGTTAAAGTTTCTTCATGGAACCATCAATGCCAATAAATTAAATAAAAAAAGTAATATCAATTAACTACATGTACTTACTAAAGGATAAAAGTTTGGTTTAGGGTTTGTTGCTTGTAATTATGCACAATTTACTGTTATTACTATAGTAAGTGCATGTAAAATATAAGTATGGCATCTTATAAAGTGTTACCAAAAGGCAAAGAATGAAAAACGTATGAAGATAATTCAAAGACATTACATGATATTCAGTATAAAAAAGAAACATTCAGTGTAATGAAAAACAATATATTGATTTGTGTCTGTTGTTTTATTTCATATCATTGTACACAAGTCTACAATACAAGTCAACCAATCGTTTTTGAATCTTTTTTTAAAAGTATGTCAATTTATCATTAACAACGATATGTATGCACATGGATTTATTCTGCCCTAGCACCAGTAATAACTAATATTATTCCAAATTTAGCAATAATCATTAGTACTAATTACTAGCAAATTATTAATAAATTAATTAAAATTAAAGTTATTAATTTGTGATTGATAAAGTACTAGTAATTTCTGTATAATTTCAATTTCTCTGTCATCATTAGAGTTAGTATTTACGTTATGCTCCGTTAGACCTCTGACGCTCTGCCAAATGCAATTTAATCTGGTGCCATATACAGTATATTAGGCACTATCAATTTTATTTACACCTGTTTAAAGGGAAGAAAAAACATACTATGCTTCCAGCGTTGACCTTCTACCCGTAAAGACTCGAAAATGGATTTTCACCGTCAGCTAGTTTCTCTCAAAGTCACTATCACACACACAGGAGGTTATTATGGTATTGTGAATATAGACTATGACTGAAGCCTCAATCCCATTATAGGAACTCTATGAGACGGTAATCCGTCAGGACGAGTCTTCAGTGTGTGTGTGAGAAAGTAAAGCTCCTGACACTAGCACTATCTACGATGCAGAGTTATTCAGTATTGAGCTTTGATTGGTTGTGTCCAACCCACTTGGCCACACCAGAACTCATACTTTGAATTTACATGTTTATGGTTTTATATTCTCATCCATCAAGGAACACATAAATAAACATGCTCAGTCATGGTGGAGCCTCAGAGGTACACAAATCCATAAGCTGCATCCTTTTAATGCTAATAAACAGTGTGATACTGTCGTATTGATCCCGTATTGGTCTGGGTCTCTGTCTGTTCAGGTTGGCACAGATGGAGCGCTCCAATGGCTCTTTGCCCACCGACAGCAGCTCGGCCACTGGAAGCATGTGAGTCTGTAAACTCTTTACTATCTTTACTGTAAATTTAAGGTTTTTCCATTTAGAGGCCATACTTGAACTGAATACATTTATACATTACATTTAGTCATTTAGCAGACGCTTTTATCCAAAGCGACTTACAAACGAGGACAACATAAGCAATCAAACTAACAAAAGAGCAACAATATGTAAGTGATGTGACAAGTTTTGATTAGTATGTTTTTTTTTGTTTTTTTTTATAAGAAATAAAAAGAAAAAAAAGTACATAGAATAGAAAAAGAATATTGCTGAACAGAGGTGTGACATGTGCTCTTTTTGGCTCATTAAAGACTAATCTTGCTGCTGCATTCTGCATTAGTTGCAGAGGTTTTATAGAAGTGGCTGGAAGATCTGCCAAGAGAGCGTTGCAATAGTCCAGCCTTGACAGAACAAGAGCTTGAACAAGGATTTCTGTAGCATGTTCTGATAGAAAGGGCCTGATCTTCATAATGTTATATAAAGCAAATCTGCAGGACTGGGCAGTTCTAACAATGTGGTCTGAGAAATTCAGCTGATCATCAATCATAACTCCAAGGTTCCTGACTCTCCTGGAAGTTATGGTTGATGTGCCTAACTGGATGGTGAAATTGTGATAAAGTGTTGGGTTTGCTGAAACCACAAGCAGTTCTGAAATGCCTGTTAGACATGCTGAGATGCGAGCAGCTATCGTCGGATCATCAGGATGGAATGAGAGGTAGAGCTGAGTGTCATCAGCATAGCAGTGAAATGAAAAGCCATGTTTCTGAATGACAGAACCTAGTGATGCCATGTAGATAGAGAAGTGGTCCAAGAACTGAGCCCTGAGGCACCCCAGTAGCTAGATGTTGAGATCAAGATATCTTGAAGTACCTATCTAAGAGATAAGACTCGAACTAGAGACCTACGCGGGATGTAGTTTTCAGTTCCGCTCCCGCAAGATTCTGTCCCGCGCCCGCCAGCTCCCGCAGAACTATATATCTTATCTGGTCCCGCTCCCACCCGCGACATTCATGTTTTGTCCCGCTCCCGCCCGCATAAAAGTAATCTACATTGATTTTTTTTAGTACATCGAAGAAATGTACATGAAATGGTTCTGTAACATCTCTTAAGCTCCACAACATCCCAGCATAAACACTCCCAATAAAATATTTGTTATTTAGGCTAAGTATCAACATTCACAAACCACTGTTATTTTTAACAGAAAAGGAAGCATGGGCTGCTGCGTGCATGGTTTGGCATGGCAGAATGCGAGCAGCGCTTCCTTTATTATCACTAAAAGTTGACATCTCAGTTAATTGCGATCTCATAAAGCTCTGTTATAACACAATAAATATATGCACAATGAATGTTAACATGAGAGGATTTTCACTGCGGTGAGTAGATTCTAACTTAATCACCCCTGATTGGCCATTGCGTTCCAGAAATCAACAGCTGAGTCTGTGATTGGCTACATTGCGCAACCCTTTAAACACGTGTTATAAATAGAAACTCTGCCTAGCTAGCGCATGTCAATCATTTTAATGTTAATAGCTATTAGTTGGTCTTTTTGCTTTTGTGCAACAGATAAATAAAAATGTTTATGTTTTAGACACTTTGTTTAGATAATTTCTATTTAGCGGGAGTCCCGCAAATCATTTTATTCTCCCGCATCCCGCACACACACGAGTCTCTTCCCACCCGCACTCGCCCATCAAGAGTTGTCCCGCGCCGCACTCTGTTGTGTTGGGTCCCGCGGTACTCCCACGGGAGTGCAGGTCTCTAACTCGAATCACTGAAGTGTGGTTCCTGAGATGCCCTTTGCCAATAGGGTTGACAGGAGGATCTGTCAAAAACAGTGGACAGATCCAGCAAGATAAGTATTGAGGATTTGGAAGCTGCTCTTGCTAGTCTTAGGGCTTCAACATCTGAGAACTGGGCAGTCTTGGTTGAATGTCCACTTCTGAAGCCAGACTGGTTGCTGTCCAGGAGGTTGATGAATATATTGGTGAAATTCTGGTGATTCAGCTTAAAGGGTTAGTTAACCCCCCAAAAAATGAAAATTCTGTCATCATTTACTCACCCTTCACTTGTTCCACCACAAAAGATATGTTGAAGAATGTTGGTAACCAAACAATTGATGGTAGCCATTGACATCCATAGAATTTGGAAATCAGTGACTACCAGCAACTGTTTGGTAATTAACATTCTTCAAAATATCTTCTTTTGTGCTCAACAGAAACTCATACAGGTTTGAAACAACTTGAGGGTGAGCAAGTGAGAATTTTCATTTTTGGGTGAACTGTCCCTTTAAGAAATTGAATATTTTTCATATTTTTATGTTATATGTGAACAAAGCTGTATCATAGTTAGGGGTGGGAGAAAAAATGGATTCATCAATGCATCGTGATTCTCTCTCCAACAATTCTGGATCGATTCTGAGCTTAGTTTTTAACCAGATGCCCGATGACGCTGAGTTTGCTTTAGAAACACCCGTATTCTGTTTGCTTCCAATTCCTCACACACATACACCACTCGAACCTTCCGTAAAATAATCTTTCATGATATGTAAATGTAAGGATTTTAAGATTCTTAAGAAAGAAGTAGATCAAGAATCGTTCTGGAATCGGATCGTGACTCCCAGAATCGGATCGGGGAAGCATGGGCTGCTGCGTGCATGGTTTGGCATGGCAGAATGCGAGCAGCGCTTCCTTTATTATCACTAAAAGTTGACATCTCAGTTAATTGCGATCTCATAAAGCTCTGTTATAACACAATAAATATATGCACAATGAATGTTAACATGAGAGGATTTTCACTGCGGTGAGTAGATTCTAACTTAATCACCCCTGATTGGCCATTGCGTTCCAGAAATCAACAGCTGAGTCTGTGATTGGCTACATTGCGCAACCCTTTAAACACGTGTTATAAATAGAAACTCTGCCTAGCTAGCGCATGTCAATCATTTTAATGTTAATAGCTATTAGTTGGTCTTTTTGCTTTTGTGCAACAGATAAATAAAAATGTTTATGTTTTAGACACTTTGTTTAGATAATTTCTATTTAGCGGGAGTCCCGCAAATCATTTTATTCTCCCGCATCCCGCACACACACGAGTCTCTTCCCACCCGCACTCGCCCATCAAGAGTTGTCCCGCGCCGCACTCTGTTGTGTTGGGTCCCGCGGTACTCCCACGGGAGTGCAGGTCTCTAACTCGAATCACTGAAGTGTGGTTCCTGAGATGCCCTTTGCCAATAGGGTTGACAGGAGGATCTGTCAAAAACAGTGGACAGATCCAGCAAGATAAGTATTGAGGATTTGGAAGCTGCTCTTGCTAGTCTTAGGGCTTCAACATCTGAGAACTGGGCAGTCTTGGTTGAATGTCCACTTCTGAAGCCAGACTGGTTGCTGTCCAGGAGGTTGATGAATATATTGGTGAAATTCTGGTGATTCAGCTTAAAGGGTTAGTTAACCCCCCAAAAAATGAAAATTCTGTCATCATTTACTCACCCTTCACTTGTTCCACCACAAAAGATATGTTGAAGAATGTTGGTAACCAAACAATTGATGGTAGCCATTGACATCCATAGAATTTGGAAATCAGTGACTACCAGCAACTGTTTGGTAATTAACATTCTTCAAAATATCTTCTTTTGTGCTCAACAGAAACTCATACAGGTTTGAAACAACTTGAGGGTGAGCAAGTGAGAATTTTCATTTTTGGGTGAACTGTCCCTTTAAGAAATTGAATATTTTTCATATTTTTATGTTATATGTGAACAAAGCTGTATCATAGTTAGGGGTGGGAGAAAAAATGGATTCATCAATGCATCGTGATTCTCTCTCCAACAATTCTGGATCGATTCTGAGCTTAGTTTTTAACCAGATGCCCGATGACGCTGAGTTTGCTTTAGAAACACCCGTATTCTGTTTGCTTCCAATTCCTCACACACATACACCACTCGAACCTTCCGTAAAATAATCTTTCATTACGTTCGGAAAGGTTGAAGCGAATTACAAGGACATTTGCAGGCTTCATTGCACCGGATGCGCTGTGAAAATCACTCACAGTTTTTGAATGGAAAACGTTCAGATAATCTTAAATAGTGAAAGCACTCTTTGTTTGTTGTTTGCAATATACTATATATATATATATATATAATATTATTATATAATGTTTCTATGCTCCTCTTTATTATTTGCTACTTGTATGTTTTGAGGTTATATTAGTTTAAAATTCTAAACATACAACTGTTTTAATTATTATTTGTAATTATTTAAAAAAGTACTTAATTACTTATGTAAGGATATGTAAATGTAAGGACTTTAAGATTCTCAAGTCGGTAAACTAATAAAGTAATAAGGGGGGTGAAAAAGTAGATCAAGAATCAGATCGTGACTCTCAGAATCGGATCGGATCAGATCGTGAGGTGACTAAAGATTCCCACCCCTAATCATAGTCATAATGTTTTGAGCACATTCACAGTTAGGATGTTCTGAGAAGAATAAGAATTAATCTGTCTAAATGAAATTATAAAATGATTAAATTAATGTAATGTAATTAATTGTTGTATGTTATTATTGTATTAAAAAAATAGCGGTTAAAAATTATGTAATACATTTAAATGAATTCTGACAGGGTTGTTAAAGGGGTCATATGATGTTGCTAAAAAAGGACATTAGTTTGTGTATCTGGTGTAATGAAATGTGTTTATGCAGTTTATGGTTAAAAAACACATTATTTTCCACATACTGTACATTATTGTTTCTCCTCTATGCCCCGCCTTTCTGAAACGCGTCGATTTTTACAAAACTCATCGGTCTGAAAAGCGAGGTGTTCTGCGATTGGCCATCTATCCAGTGCGATGTGATTGGCCGAATACCTCAAGCGTGTGACGGAAATGGTACGCCCCTTACCAGGGGTGTGAAGTAACGAATTACAAATACTCACGTTACAGTAATTAGTTTTTTTTTTTTATCAGTAATTGTACTTTTTTGAGTAGTTAAAAAATTGTGTACTTTTACTTGAGTACATCTTAAGTGATGTATCGGTACTTTTACTCCGCTATTTTCCTCAGTTTGTGGTCGTTACATGCTTATTTTAATTTTATTTTTATCCATCAACATGATTGGATAGAGAGTAATAGGTCTCGTGACTTTCGTCAATTCAAATTTTGTATAGAAAACTTTAACCGCCAGCTGTTTATCATGGCTGCTGGAAGCGCATTCTTCAAGCATCAATTCAGTCGCATCTTCCTCTAACTTAATATGTTAAGGTAAATTTCGGATTTCTGCTTACTAAATGATTTGTATATATGCTTGCCTATCTACACGGCCTGAAATTTGGTGTGAGGTTGTGGGTATTGCATACAGTGTTAACTCCCGCAAGTGCCACGTTCTGTAAATTCCCCACTCACTTATGAGACGCTCGATCTGCGCTGCCTCGTCTCTCTCTCTCGTGCGTTCTGCAGCGGTCGCTTGGATAAGTCGTTGTTGCTTGTTGAACTTGTTGACTTTTGATGAGTTTGAGCCGTGATGCGCACAGTGCAAAAGTGTGTTGGAAACACAAATTGAGGACCAAATCTGCACCTTATTGATGACCCGTGGCGTTAATATACTGCATCTGTGCCAGCGCGTGATGTAATAAAACTGCAGCTCGTTAATAAAATTTGTTTTAAACCATTTTATACAATCCACCTTCATTTAGCAAGTGCACTCGCGCATAAACAATTTTCAAGTTCAACACTTTTTGTTCTGTTCCGTTGTGGATGCTGCTGGTTCACCGAGACCGCCGCGGCTCAGCAAAGAGACGTGTGTGTGTGTTTTCCTTTGAAAAAGATTCCCCAGAAATACCTCGCTATTTAATGCATTGCACATGATTTTATTGAGTTTATTGAGTTTTGATGTATTTTAAAGAGTTGGCCGTCAAAATTAAAACTGCTGGATGATAGATACTCTTCATTCTTTAGGACAAACAAGATAATGTGAATTACAGAATGTACAACCTTTTTAAAATGTATCAATTGCGGTGTACAGCGTTTATTATGAGGGGGTAGAATCCACAGCTCAGTACTCACTACTCAATACTCATGAGTACTTTTAAATAGGTTACTCTTTTACTCTTACTCAAGTATTTTTTTGGACAAGTACTTTTACTCTACTCACACTACATTTTTTGGAAGGTAATGGTACTTTTACTTGAGTATATTTTTTCAGTACTCTTTCCACCACTGCCCCTTACCATACTGTGAAGCCGTGTCCCAGCGCGACAAGACGAAAACATTAAAAGCCATTATAAACGAGGCATTTGTTGCATCCAGTGGGGACATAATTGCTGATTATAATGACTTATACTGTCTTTTTACGTGTTGCATATCGCACCACGTAAACATAAAACCATGTCTGCATTTGTGAACGGATTACCGACAAACAACAAGCGCTACTCTATACTGCTCAAAACTCGCATTTGAATCATCAGTGGCAACTTCTTTAAATATGAAAACGTACTTACAGGCTGTGAGTCAGAACAGCCGGCATTGTAGGATCAGGAAACAGTCCTCTTTAAAATGCGTTGCATACATCTGAATATTTGGTTTGAACTGTTCTGGAACAGTGTTGTAGACGTGGGGGCATGTTAGAACGAGCCGTTTTAGGGGGGCGTGGACGAGTCTTAACTTTTATTAAGAATATCTCTTTGGGTTTGAGACTTTAGTCTTTGCAACTTTAGGGATTTTATCTATTCACGAACAACTTGTAACACTCCAAAGAGAAAGGAAAACTTGAAATCGCATCATATGACCCCTTTAAATTAAAATAATAAAAAATGTGCTTAAGCTGGGGAAATGTGGTTGCTAATGTATTCCAAAGGGTTCCTAGGGTATTCTGGGCAGTTGCTAGGTAGTAAGAAACATTAACAAAGTAATTTAGCAGAATTGTGTGAATTTAACAATTGTCTCCTGCAGTCTGACTGAACAGTAAAGAGCCATATAAATACATACTGCCATGTTTCTTATTTGCTTTGGTGCCGGTGGAGTCTGAATGAGATCCTTCTGGTCTCAGTGCTGACCGAGAGAGAATCAAATGGACATACAAAGAGATATAGAGAGATAGAGTGTATTGGGGAAAGATTAGTATGAAATGGACTCCTATTCAAACTGTTGAAGTGAGAGAGGTCAGCAGAGGAGGTATTTACACTAAAAATGACTCAAGTCAAAGTTTATTGCACTAAAACAGCTTCTTAGTTTCTTCTCTCCCAGCCTTTGAATTAAACAAGCTAAATTTGCTACTGTACTTTTAAGACTTTTATATGTAAATGACCTCTATTATGATTGGTTCTCTTTCTGACTCCGATAGTTTGTAGTCTGAATCAAATGTGATGATATAAAAAGACTGGATACAATCATATACAACATGTTTTGTACTGCATTGTTTTTGCTGGATGTACGAAGTCTGATTCACACACAAATGTCTCCTGTTGTTTTGATGAATCAGTCAAAAAGTCTCAAGAATTCACCACTTATCGAATATTAATATTAAAAACAATGATATCAAAAATGCTTTTGTTTATTAAAAGATTGTGATTTCTGAATGAGCCATTTTTGCAGTTTAGTTTTGTGTTTGAGTGAACGTTTGGGTCTCGAACACTATTTCAAAAAAGGTACAAAAACCTTGTTTTTCGATTATCTGAACCCTTTAAGGTTGGGAACAGTGAGGAACACAAACTCTGACGTTTCATTTCTCTGCTGATGAAAGGAACGAATAGAATGAGATGGACGGAGGGCAGCAGTGAGAGGAATCAGACGCGCTGTGGATCTTTATCAAAGAAATGAACCACCAGAAGCAGATACAAACACACACTTTCATTCAGTCTCACATACTGTATGTATGCATGGGTTCTGTGACATCTGAACTCTTCATAAGAGTGTTGTAAAGGAAGCTTATTATGAGCAGTATCAATGCAGGGACAGAGGCGGCGTATGATGCTTGAAATCTAGTTGACAAAAAAGCCTTGTAGCTCTGAACCTGAGTGAATGACGACACACACACACACACACACACACACACACACACACTGTCAGCTGCTATGAAGTACACGACTAAAGGGCACACATCTCTCACAAAGCAAACAATAACGTTCACAAACACGTGTACATTTGTACCTGTCGTAAACGTATTGTTTTATATAAACTAATTATAGTAACTACAGACTAAACCAAGATAAAAATCATTTTACTAGGGATCGGTGTTATTTTAGCATTATTTATATACTAGTATAGCATTTATTAACATTTTGAATAGCTTTTTTTTCAGTATTTCATGTTCATTTTAGTTTGTTTGTCATTTTCATATGTGCTTTTGTCGTTTTATGCTGATCAACCAACAAATGTCTGGCTTTAAAATGTATAGTTAGCTAATATCTAAAACTAAACTAGTTTTTTTAAATGCTATAAATGAATTTAGGCATCACAAAACTATAATGTACAGAATGAAAAATGCATTTTTGTTTTGAGATTTTCTGCAGATGTTATTAGATCTTAAATTGTGCTTTTAAAGATTAAACTTGTTAGATTTATGAAAATTTAATCTAAATGTAAAAGTAGTGATGCACTGAAATTTAAGTAGCAGAAATAAATTTTTTGTGTCTGCCAAAATCATTGACATTTAATTAGTGCTTTTATTGATGATGTTTTAACTATGCATTGCTCACTTGATTACACAATATTTGTAGTGTGCTTGCATCATCCAATATCTACCAATAAAAACAGTACATCCAATACTGACCAATATAAGTCAATTGAATCTCTAGCCAGTATCCGATATGGTACCGGTATATCATATGCATGCATTCATTTTATCCTCGAAGATATTCCCTAAGAAACATTTTGTCAGATTTCTCACTTCTGGGGACAAATTTGAACCCGAAGTGTAGCCAAGTAAACCAACCTACACACACGCTTATTTAATGAGCGATTATTGTTCAAAGCCAATGAGGGATGTTCTGACTTCTAATGAGCAATCTTCCTCAAACACTACCTGGAGATTTGTCCCTGAGAGTGTTTACCGTGGAGAGTGTGTGTGTGGGTGTGGGTGTGGGTGGGTGAGCATCTGTGTGGTTGCACACTGTTGCATCAGTATGGCAGCGATGACGTTAATGAAGATTGCCAGATGATGGTCAGTTTTACCAGGACAGAAACAATTTGACACAAGCATTTGTGACTTTTGGTTTCCTGTTTGCTGAGGGTTTGCAAAGTGGTGTTAAAATAATCTTATTAACATCCCTAAATCTAATTACTTCTTGCTGTCTCTTTCTCTTCCCCGTCTCTCTTTCTGTGTCTTTCTTTGGCTGGCTCTAAGAAGATGGAACTAATTCCATTCCTCCTGCTGTCCCGCTAACACCTTGTTTATCTCTTTACCTAATGCATTAGCACACTCTTCAGCATCATATATTTGCTTGTGCTTGTGCGTTTGAGGTGTAGAGAGAGAATTTAGTGTTTTCTCGTTACAATGTTTGTGATGGATTGGTGTGTAATGGCATTATCTGTTGGGTTTAATTGAGTGCAGGAGGGAAGATTCCCCACTCGAAAATACCATTAAAACCCACTCGTTAATTTTATTTTATTTTTTTGTTTTTATTTTGGGGCTTTTGCCTCATTTCTATTCTACAGCTGTTCTAGAGTTTGACAGGAAAGACAGAGCGAATGGGATCTGGGCTGGATTCAACCCATAATTTGTCCAGAGCATTGAACTGAACACTGCACTATGTCGCCAATGTCTTTTAACTCTTCTTTCTTTATTTTTTGGGGCCATTTTTTTGTAAATGGCTATAGAAGAGAGTGACAGGATGTTAGGAGGAGTTATGGGATCAGGACACAATAAAGGTCCAACCTCGAACCTGTATGTTCCACATGAGCACCAATGCTCAACGTGCCTTTAGCATTTTTGCAAACTGTTAAGCCCCGTTCACACCAAGAACGATAACTATAAAGGTAACGATATTAGCGTCCAAACCATCGAACGATATTGTCTGTTTATTCTAAGTGCACATGCATCTGCCGCTTTAAATTCTTGAGCTCGTTACAGCAGGCTCTGAGCAGAACTGGAACAAAAGTTTGATTTGAACCTGCATTTCCCACATGAGCACCACAGCTCAGTGTGTCTGTGTCGCATGCATTAACCACTAAGCCACAGCTCTTAGTTTTCTCTCTCAATCGGTATGGTCTTCTCTTTCACTTTCTTTGTTTGATTGTTTGCACACTCATGTTAGCATTCTCATTTCCCGTTCCTGCCCTTAGAGTTTATGAACTCTGTTAACACTCCAGCTGATCAATGCATCCCATGCAGAATCACAGACACAAGCGGGACGTCTCCTGTACTCCTCTCGTCTCGTCTCAGCCCTGGGGTGAAAAACAGCAGCTGTCTGATGTGAAATCTCATCTGCACTGAGAGAAAGGGAGCGTGCAATCACTTTGTCTCCAATTTGTGCCTCTCTTTCTGTTCTCTCCCGGGTCCTGTGGGAGATGTAGGCAGTGATGTGGTTTTCCGTCAGTGTCTTGTTCTTCAGCGCTCAGATTGAATGCTTTCCAGATCTGTCTCTCCTCGTTCCAGTGTAATAGTACAGCTACAAAGCTTCTTCGCTTCCTTTAAACCGGAGTTCCTGTTTTGAGCTTTCTCCTCTTGGGTCCATCCATCTGGACATTTATATTTCAGACATAACTGAACTTTTATCTGTAGCTGCATTATAATTCACTGCTCTCTTCATACTGAGCAGCTCACTTCACTGCATTTGCCAAAATATGTTCAATTGAGTCGTGCAGATTAGGGAGTTCAAGTTTGATGACACAGTTTCTGTCATGACAACTCTCGGAGGGATTGGCATGGTAATGTTCATGACAATGTTAATGTGTTTGGTCTTGGCGGAATAGATCTGCTACACTGCTGCTGCTGCTACTGCCAATACATCCACAACATGCTGCTGTGGGCATGTAAGAAATATTGCTGCTGCAAATATAACATACATGAAATAACCCCCGTATAGCATACATGAATCACCTCATAGCAGATCTATACAGGTGGAGCTGGGGAAGGTGGAGGGTTTCTGAAGCAAGCTGCAACTGCTACGGCAAGCACTGGTCATATATTTGAATGTTGAGCAGTGAGCTCATTGGCTACCGATACAGGAGAGAACCAATCAGCTGTGCCATGTGATAATGATGGCATTAGGTCAGATTGAGCTAGACCAATCGGACTTTACAACCTGAACTAACCTTGTCTTGTCATAAAACGTCCAAATGATCTGATATTTTAAGAGACTTATTGAACTAGAAACACTCATGAGGATCTACTGGGCAAATGTTTTTCATATGTTGTTTTAGTGTTTCACTGCTTATTTTTAATAATAGAAAAGTAAAATAATTTAAGAAATAATAATAAAATATCATACCAAGCTTTGTTTTCAAGAATTTCAGTGAAGCTTTTCACTTCATTATGATTTCAGGACAGTTATATAACTCTAAGGGTTTTTTTTGTTTTTTTTTTTGTTAGTTTTTTTGACATTATGCCCCCCAATCCAAATTAATTCCGAAATTAAAAACATGTTCATCATAGAAGACATGTATTAAAATCATTGTATGTATGAATTGTATTTTTAATGTGTTTTTGAATTCATTAATAAGCCCGGACCAAAAAATAAATAAAACGTCACTGACCCTTAAATCTAAATTCTCTAAATTTAAATAATTTATAATATTTAAACGACTGTTGAGATATTTCCTATTTCATTTAATGTGAATGATTAACATTCTCAATATTCCTTCAGCAAATGCCCTGTGAAATCAACAAAGCCCAGCATGCAAACAGATTTGATTGTTTGTGGACAGGATATGTATTAGCAGTCAGTTAGATGATTTTTTTGGCTGGTCAGTCAGTCGAAGCACGTGTCTGTCCTGAGAGAGCTTCACAGATCGGCACTCCAGCACCGTTTCAGTAGTGAAGAGGTATTTGAGTTGTGAAATGTATCAGCTCAGTCCTGTGTGAGAGTTAGACAGGTGGAGTGAGTAATGGGCCGATAACAAGGAGAGCGCCAGTGAATCCGGCTCTGTCACGCTCTCTGTGACTGTTTTGCTAATGGACCTGCTGCGAGCAGCGCTCCTTTTGGCAGCTTTCATTGACTTAAATTAGTCTCTTTTATTGTTTAGTTTTTCTCCAAAATTGTCTGAAAAAACCCCCTTTGTGAGCACGAATGGAAAAGCAAAAGAAAGACAAAAGATTCATCGAGTGGAAGCAGAAAATTGGAAAGCTGAAACCAAATGAAAGCAGAGGAACATCCCTGAAAGAGAGACTATTATTAGAGGAACTTTGAACTAACAAAAAAGTGAACAAGTAAAAGTTGCTTGAAGTCTTTTGAGTGTGTCTGTGAAGAATATGAGTTCATGAGAATATTAATTAATGGTGCTTATTGAGGAAAGTATCACTTTACATTTACACTGAAGGAACTTCTTGAGGGAACTTTCTCAATATCTTAACCTTTACAAATCTACCCAGCCAGCATTTCAGGTACCATGGTTGAATCAACGCTGAATTAGGTGTTGATTATGCAAATTGGATCAACATTGAAACAACAACTGACATTATTTCAACCGTATTTCAAACGTTGAAGGTCGGTCATATGCCAAGTTCCACTTCCCTTTTTCATCCTGCTAATTCATATTTGGGAAGATCTTGCTCTTTTGACATAATCAAAAATTAAAATGATGTGTAAACATGTGTAAACGTGTGCTAAGATTCAGAACTCAAAGCTCCTCCCCATAAACGAGCCGTTCAGAAATCATCATAGTTGTGACATCACATCAGTGAGCTTGTGCCCGCCCACCAATCAGCTGTGCAGTATTCAGAAACTCAGCCACTCAGATGAATGACAGTCTGAACCAGTCATTTACATCAAGAAGTCTTAAAGGTACGGTAACATTTAGGCAGCTGGTTTAATCATGAGAGTCAGTGGGAGGGTGGAAAATTAACTAAATTGAAATGCTTCAGAAGTGCAGAATATGTTCCTTTAAGAGTTTGGCACATCATGCCCACATCATTAAAGTCTTCAGAGCTTGTTTTATACTGTTGTGGACGTGTTCAGGCGAGCTCAGCGGGTGTCCTTCACAGAACAAGTGTATGATAATTACAGAGCTAATAAGCCGTTGCCTGGCTTTCCTCCTCAGAGGGATGTCTGTGTCTCAAATCTGCACTGATGCTACACTAGAGATCAAACATTGAAACTCTTTTTCCTTCATTACCGCCATTTGCTGTCTAATGTTTACTCTGAACAAGGTCGCCTGTACATTCACGCATGCCGAAATAGCAAGAAAAGTTGTGCAAGTCACATTAAACGTCCAAAAGATCAAAAGAGAAAAACATTAAGAAATTTCAGTTTTCAAAAAATAAATAAATAATAATTCTTTGATGCATAAATGCACTTTACAATTAAAATAACATAGGTTTTCTATTTGATGGAAATGTTTTAATGATTAGTTCACTTCCAGAATAAAAATGTCCTGATGTGACTGAAGAAAGAAAGACGTGAACATCTTGGCTGACATGGGGGTGAGGAAATTACCAGGACATTTTTATTCTGGAAGTGAACTAAACCTTTAATTGTCATTTTCATCTTTTTATACATCTCTTTCGAATTTTGGAGTGAAATATGTCTTGTGCATGGCAAGTTTCGCATGGTTCACCCACGCACAGGTTTTGTAGATATCTGAAACATGAGGTGGGTGTCTGAATGTTTCTCTGAGGCTGCCGAGCAGTCAAACGCAATTTTATGTGTTTATTATTTTTCAAATAAACATCCCTGAGTGTTACAATAAAGAAACCAAAGAAAGTTCCAAACGATCAAACCTGAAAGCAAGGCAGACGGGTTTGCCAATCGTGAAAGAGTGTGGAATGAAAGAGGGATGAAGGGAAGGAGACGGGAGTCGTCAGGGGAGTTTCTCCTGTGATGGTGTTTTAGATTGAATGTGACGGCTGGGACTCAGACTCTTGACTGATGCTGCTGGAGACAGACATGACACCTGCACTCATTCCTCTTTCTTCGGCCTCCTCTTTCATCTCTCTACACCTCTCTATCTCTGGCCGTCTTTTCACAACACTTCAGTTTTCTCACACAAACAGCTTATTCTCAAATGCCTTTTTTTTCCCTTTCTTTTACAGTATTTGCCAGGCTCCACTGATATTCCTCAGCTATTTTATATATATATATATATATATATATGACTTATTTTTGAGATTGCTCTTAGCAGATGACACTGATATTTTATGTAATGCAATGAAATGCAGGCATTTTTAAGTGTGGCGTGTGTGTGTGCAGTGTGTTTTAGACCCATGTGTCACTATATCATCCCAGCTAAAGCTTTAACACTCTTCTTCTGCTGGTTTGCAGGCGCTCCCCTTTCCTTCAGGAAATGCAAATATACTTGTGTTTGTTGTCTGGCTGCTTCGTGACTTTTGCCCCGATTTTCAGTCTGGAGGAGTAGACACTAGCTGCCAGAAGTCAGAGCCAGTCTGCAGATTTTGGGCAGTCGGGTTGACAGATTTATGGAGAAAAACGCAAGTTTCTCCTCTGTAACCATTTACAAAGTGTATGATGCCTAGTGTTTTAAAATCTCTTCAGATTTTAAAAGTTATGTATTGCAGCCTTGAAATAATTTGTTGCGGCCAAATTCTTTGGCAGATAGAAAATGGCAGATGATATATTGATTATAAATATAATAATGTACTCATTCTCTACTCGCATCACACAGATCTGCGAAAATGACAAAAAAAAAGATGTATTATGCATTTCGCACTTTGAAACCCATTTTCAAAAGTTCGCGTTTTCAGGCCCCTAAACTTTTGTGTAAATGAATAGGGCTGGGTATCGTTCAAAAATGTTCGATATCGATACCGATACTGGTTCCTGAACGATACTTTTTTCAATACTAATTTTATGAAATCAATTTTAACAAGGTTACTTTTATCTAAAAAAAGTAAAAGCGAATTATAAATCTTATTTATTGTCTTATGTAGCATGATGCTACAGTTTGCATGAATGGTCACATAACACGCACTTTCGGTCGTGTCGTATGAACGGACATCTGCATATGATCGGAACTCCACGCAGCTCCCGCGCTACTCTCCATTGGAAATGAATAACTTCCGGTCTGTCGCTTGTCGGAGGTGGACTGGCATTTCAACTGTGGAAATGCCAGTATGACGAGGATCGTTTTCATTTTAAAACAAAAGCGCACCAGTGTAAATGTAGCCTTAAATCTAAGGGGGCTGGGATGCATTCACACTGCAGCCTCACGAGTGAGCCACATCTCTGTGAGCAACCGGTGACGTGGACCGACTGTGCAGACCGATCGGTGTATTACAGTACCACGAGAGCTATAGAGAGCAGACTGCTCCGTGCGCTTTCAAATCGCTCTCGCGGATGTCAAGATCGATCTGCACTGCGCCTCTAGTCGAACACACCGGCTAGTGCTGCAGGCTTATTGGCTCACTGACGCTGATGAGATTAACCCCTTAGGTATCTAAATTGGTACCTGGTTTGTTTTTTTGGTACTCGATGGTATCGAGGCAATTCGTCCGGTGCCTAAAAAGTATCGAACCCGATACCCAGCCCTATAAATTAATGACCAAAATGCATAAAAAGTTGTCAGTTATTACGAAAACGGTGTCGTGTAAACAGCCCCTTAGAGTCGTAGATGTCTTTAGCTTAGCAACATGCTAATGTCAAACTCTACTGGAATCAGTTTTCACTCAAGTTTCCCATGTGCTTCATGTGAGGAGTGATATTTGTGTGGCACAAGCCAACGAAGAGCGTTCCAAATCAATCGCTTTTGAGGTTCCTTTTCAGTTGCGATGCTGCCTTGAAGGATACTTCTTGTGTAGGCAGTAGACAGCAAGTTCACCAGGTATAAAGGAATGAAGGAATGAGCCCTAAAACCCAGAAATGTTTTAGCACTTCCAGTCCCATCGTCCTAAAGTCAATGTTTTTTTTGGTTGAATGCCTGAAATAAGGTCTGAGGTGAACACAAGCTCAAGATATTTTCACATATTATTCTACAACATAAAATACATAAATTATACACTATGCATGATTTTAAATCTTGAATTGTAAAGCTTTTATGTGCAATTGTATTTAGGGTTCAAAATAAAAATAAAAAAAAAGTTAATTTGTGAAGATTACTAAAATGTGTAAGAATCATGAACTTTTTTTGGTCACAGAGTTTAATTTCCGCAGTAATCCAAAAACCATTTGAAAAATCCTATTGTGTTTTTGTCATGGGAACCAGGGTGATGCTAACTTTAAGGTTGTCCAACAAAAATATGTCACCCTTGCGGCACTCTATTGCAATACAGATTGAATCTTATGTAGCCTTTTGATTATTGGAACTAAAGCCTAGCATCTTATTCTGGCCAAGAACTGTTCTCTTATGCTTTCCAATTTCTTTTGAACATGCACCAACCTGTCCCTGAACCGTCCCTGGAGTGTGAAGCTGAGACTAACATTCACCTGCCAGCTTCAGTTCCAGCCCTACCCTACTGTATGAACTGCTATTGTTCTATCCTTCAATGGGTTTCATGGTCTAACGGGCAATGCCAGCGAGTCCCAACAGCCGCCAATAGCACAGTGAATCAAGCACAGGCGTTCAATGAGCCCTGATTTAGAGTAACAGTAATTTATTTGGTCTCCCGAGGGCCTGACTCACTGCACTGGGCCTTGGTTTAGCCAGATGGCCTCCAAAAAGGCTCTTAGCTAAATAAACACAATATAACTCAATATCCAAGAAGGCAAACAAGACTGACATTCCAGCCTGACATATCTGGCCCCCTTGCTTTCACCTACAGGAAGACTATAAGCAGTAATGATGGAAGCACTAATATATTTTTCAATATTTGTTACTGTATTGTAAGTGTATTACTATCAGTTGGGTTATGCTGATTTTAAATCATGCCCATCTCTCTTTCCAGCCTGAGTTAAATGGCACGTCCTCTTCTGGCTCTCTCCATCAGGATACAGCAGGACAGGCCGAGCTCACAGGTATAGATACACACACACACACACAACACTGGGTGAGGGCTCTGATTGACTTCTTTATGTAATAATCTGCTGAGTGTATTCTGTGTGTGTCCTCAGATGAGTTTCTCCATCAGTGTGCTAACAGTAACTCTGATATGGCTGAGGTTGTGGAACAGATTAACCACAGTTTCCCTGCATGCTCTCGTAAGTCTAACGCTCAGATTTTCCCGCTCTCAATCTATCTCTCAGCATGCTGGCTAATACTCGGCTGTCTTCTGGGTTTTTGACCTCCTTCCGTCCTTATTTTCCAGGGTGCAGTGAAGTCTTTGGCTGCATCCCAGTAGTGCGCAACAGTCGGGGTCTGGAAAAAAAAATCCCATTCAATTTCCTTCATAGAGAAATTTAATTGCGTAATTTCCAGTGAGATACTACACTACCCATAATCCTGAAGACAGATCCACCAATCAGAAGTGACTTATACCATGGAATTGTGGAACAGCAGCCATTGCCTTAAAGCATTACTAATAACATAATTAAATATTGTATATTTGTATATTTTGGAAAACTGTATGATACACTTATTTAGAGTCAATCATTTTATATTGGTCCCATATAATATTTATATACTATTATAGTATTTATTCATATTTTGAATTAGCTTTTATATTTATATTTTCAGTTTTGATTTTCATTTGTTTTAGCAATTATATGTGCTTAATATTTCTATTTAGATTTAATTTATTTTAGTTTTAGTCATTTTAGTACTTCAACTTGTTTCATTTAGTTGTCAATTTAAGTTTTTCATGTAATTTTGAAAATGTTTTGAATAGTTTCAGTTTAGTTTAAGTTAACAATAACACCGGTAGCGTGCTCCAGATTTAATTACGTAATGTTCAATACTTGAGCTTGAGCTTTACTTCATTGCATTTTTGGGGAAAAAACTGCTTCTATCAGCCGAAGGTAGTTCACTAGTCTTGTTTAAACTGGTATAGTTTTACTCCCAGTCTGACAAGCTAACAAATGCTCACTACCTTAGGCTGGATTTATCTTGGAGATAGTGTTTGGTTTATTGCTTAAAACTGACTGTTTAATTCTTTAAATGCCTATGAAGAAACTGAATGAGAAAAATACTTCCAGAACCAAGCCTGCTGAAAAAGTGTGCATACTCTACTACAGGGGTGTCCAACCCTGCTCCTGGAGAGCTACCGTCCTGCAGAATTTAGTTCCAACCCTGCTCCAGCACACCTGTCTGTAATTATCAAGCAACCCTGAACACCTTGATTAGCTGGTTCAGGTGTGTTTAATTGGGGTTAGAGCTGAAATCTGCGGGATGGTAGCTCTCCAGGAGCAGGGTTGGACACCCCTGCTCTACTACATACTAAAAATATGTACTTCACCAGTACATACTTTTAGGTACACAGTAAGCTAGAACTGAAAAATACTAACATGCCATTGTTGGTGCACTGTTTGGGTTTGCATCTTCGCATTAGCATATATCTGCAATAATTTTTACCTCACATTAAGGTAAAGTATCATGAAACCCTCCATCACTTCTCAACACAGTGAAAAGAGTAGGAGTGGAGGGGAGGGGAGGAGAGAACACAACCGTTGTGTCTGATCCACGCAGTTTTATTTTGCTTTAATGGCATCAAAGAAATGCATGCTACTATTCATAATTGCGCTCAACAAAATGCCCTGTATTATGAGTTCACAGTGCATTACACAAATACACACAGCTCCTTTTATTGCACTAATGCACTACTAAATGCAAGCCGTTTTCAATTGCATCAAAAAAGTGAATGTGCATTTGCATTTTTAATAACTTTTGTTATTCCTTGATCTTGACTCAGTGATATAATGAAATAATGAGGCGCTGCTAATGCTTTCGTGCAATATAGTGTGACTTTTTGAACCAGAAAATAGCTAAGAATGTCCCTAATGACAGATTGACTCTAATATTGTTTCATTACCCACGTTCTTTTTGCTTTACTAACAATTGTTTAAGTCAAAACAGACTCGGGTATGAAATTAACACCTGGCACAATCTGCATGCAGGTATTTTCTGTGCGGTGACGGGTAATTTCGCTCATCTTCCAGCCATTGTGACAGGCGGCCTGTAAGACATCTCGAGATGACAGTTGACAAACAATGTGTTACGCATAAGCAGCCATGCATGCTTGAAGATGCCATCCAATTATGTGAAGCATTGCACTGTATTACAGACCAGCCCTAGTATTTAGGATGGACAGTATTCAAATTGGTTCACACCCTCTGTCCTATTCTCATTTTCTTTTGCATAATTGCTAACGCCAATCAAACGATTTTGCCCTACAACAATAGAAATCCTTTACAATCCCAGAAATGCGTCTCAGATGGCAGTATTGTAGAGTGTGCACTGGGCTTTAGCCACTTTATTAGTTTATGTATCTTCATTATTTGAAATAGACTTCTAGTAAATCGTCTAGTAAAACTTTTTTGCTCAAAATCCATCTGAGATTTTAGACGAAAATCCATTTCAATCTGGTTGCCTCTTCCTCTATATAAACCGTTGTTACCGCCATCCCAGAATCCCTCATCTTACGACTGTCAGTCTGCCAGCTCCAGCACTCTTCTTGCCTTTGAGAACTCCCCCATTTCTGCAGTCTGAGAGCTTTGATTGTGAATTGTGTTTGTAATCACTTTCGTTTGGAAGAAAATTGCATAGCGAAGCCTTTAGAGACACCATTTTGTGTAATGGCTCGCGACTTGAGAGTTTTTCTTACCTAGAAGTTACCGATAAGATTTTATTGTTATTGTTGAACTTAAATTTGAATTCCGCCCAGACTTTGGCTTGCACTGTTAGCTAGAAACTCTGTAAAATATTGATGTTGGCACATTGACGTTTCACTGCATCGGGCCCTTGTGAGCGATGAGATTCGGTCTGGGAGAAGGTATGGGGCCATTTCCATGTTCTTTGTTTGATGGGAGAGTTTTAATGAAGGCACAGGTGATTTGAGTGTTCGGAGCCGTCTCACTCTTGTTTGCTGTCGTCTCCCTGTAGAGTTCATTAAAGCGCTGCGCTCCCATGAGTCTGAGCTTGAACGCTCTAAATTAAATGTTCAGCCGTTGTGGAGAGTCTGTTGTTCTTGTCAGGACTGTCTTGGTTAGGATAGCTGTTATTTTGTCCTAATTGTGTCTCTCTTTGTATTTCCCTTCTGGGTCCTGTAGCGTCAAGTGTGTCCTCAAGGCCGAAGGTAAGAGTCACCACACGTAACAGTAAAAGCACAGTAATTCACACTGACCACAAAGAGAAAAGGAAAATCTGCAATGCCATTTTACCATCAATCCTCACCTGTTTTCGTATCTAATCTCCTTGCAAATGAGTCTGAAAGCATGGGGCATTTTTATTCCCTGCTCCATTAATTTGCTTGCACCAGCTCGGATTGAAACATTATCAATCGTGTTTCTGTTAAGGAGAAATTCATTTTTAATTGGTGTTTGTTTTTACGAGCCATCATTGGATGTAAACATCTTAGTGACAAGCTTGTATGAGAAGATCCATCACAGCCGAACGATTGGCAACTCCATATGTCATGTTTCTGTGATGATTTATTGACTGGTTTTATTTGAAGAAGTTGGGATTGAAGCGTTTGCATAGTCAAAAGTATAGGGAAGTGAGAATAAAGTTCTTACACTCTTAAAAATGAAGGTTCCAAAAGTTTATTTTTCTTTTTATGGACCACTGATGCTTTATTGAATCTTTATTTTTAAGAGTGTATTCAGGAAAGTTTCATTAAGGTTGGTTCCTTTAACAGTTCTGAAATGCTATTACATTAAGACTCGCAAAACTCATGACGTATCTGAATATGAAAATTATTCACTTACTGAATTAGTAGTTACTTACTCAAGGCATTCATTTAATTATGCCTAAATTAAAATGAACTGTTTTGCAACCCAGTGAAATCCAAACTGTGACTGTCACTCTATGTGCAAAGCCATAGAGTGCTGCAGGAATGAGTCCTTAAACCCAGAACCCAATTAGCTTCTTTTAAACTTCTGCTTCAATCATCTTAAAGTCAATGGGTTTTTGAATGGTTTTTGGTTAAAGGCCTGAAATATGGTCTATGGTTAACAAACTCAAGATATTTTCTCGTTGTGGCCAAATGAGACTGCAGAGGTTGTCTGAGGATATTTAACAACATCACGCCAAAGAAATAAACTCATCTACTTACAAGTCTGCTTTTACAGCCTTGGTGTGTTTATACTTGCGTTCTTGCAAACTATTATAACTCAAACTTTCCAACTTGTAGAGTTTAAATCAAGTGTTTTCGGAAGCTTAGTGATGTTGAAGTCATGTGATCATGGTGTAGTTTGATCACAGCCTACGTTTAGCTTTTAAAGGAACGCTCCACTATTTGTCCAAATTTAACTCCCCTAGAGTTAAACAGTTGAGTTGGTAACACTTGAATTCATGGTAATTCATGTACCCTTACCGTAAAGTGTTACCATTGAGCAAAGCCATAGAGTGCTGCAGGAATGAGTCCTTAAACCCAGAACCCAATTAGCTTCTTTTAAACTTCTGCTTCAATCATATTAAAGTCAATGGGTTTTTGAATGGTTTTTGGTTAAAGGCCTGAAATATGGTCTATGGTTAACAAACTCAAGATATTTTCTCGTTGTGGCCAAATGAGACTGCAGAGGTTGTCTGAGGATATTTAACAACATCACGCCAAAGAAATAAACTCATCTACTTACAAGTCTGCTTTTACAGCCTTGGTGTGTTTATACTTGCGTTCTTGCAAACTATTATAACTCAAACTTTCCAACTTGTAGAGTTTAAATCAAGTGTTTTCGGAAGCTTAGTGATGTTGAAGTCATGTGATCATGGTGTAGTTTGATCACAGCCTACGTTTAGCTTTTAAAGGAACGCTCCACTATTTGTCCAAATTTAACTCCCCTAGAGTTAAACAGTTGAGTTGGTAACACTTGAATTCATGGTAATTCATGTACCCTTACCGTAAAGTGTTACCATTGAGTTTTACCGTTTTCGAAATTCATTCAGCCGATCTCCGGGTCTGGCGGTAGCACTTTTAGCTGTAGCTTAGCATAGATCATTGAATCTGATTAGACCATTAGCATCTCGCTCAAAAATGACCAAAGAGTTTCTATATTTTTCCTATTTATAACTTGACTCTTCTGTAGTTACATCGTGTAAAAGCTGTGATTTTCTAGGCCGATATGGTTAAGCTATACTCTCATTCCGGTGTAATAATCAAGGAACTTTGCTGCCGTACCATGGGTGCAGCAGGCACAATGATATTACACAAAATCGCAAACTTCTGGCAATTGTTTTTAGGCTTCAAAATTCATCAAAGTTGTGGATTTTGTCGAGGAAAGCAGGGTGATGCCAACTTCCCATGTTGGCCTTTAAAAATACATAATTTCTACAGCACTCAATTTCATATGGTCAGAATAGTTGATTCCCATGCTTAGCTCATGTATTATAGACACTTACACAATTATGGATGTTTGTGTCCAGGTGATGTGAAGGTTTCCAGCAGAACATCCCTTTGGAAATCTTGCGGACATTAAGAGCAGTCTCGAACTCGACATGACAAGAAGATTCCCGGCTGTTCCCTCGACAGAGATGTTCGTCCTCGAACCCAAAGACTCTGGAACAGGACCACACAGTTCATTCATTGGCTATTACTACTGCGTCTGTCTGTACTATGCAACTGTACATTTGATCAACATGTAGATTGTACGTGGTGAGGTGTATCTGCCCATTGTTTTAATACTCGGATGATTATTTAGGGTTATGGGGGCCATTTATTGTATAACCTGTATGCTTTTATTTCTGCGTTCACCAAGGAACCGCACTGCTACCACATATCTCACATGCAGCTCACATCAGTTGCTGTTCAAACTGACACGTTGTCTTTCTACAGACGTGGTTATTAGTTTAATCAGAAAACGATGTGAACGTCAGTGGATATGAAGACGAATCGATCTCGTAATGCTAAACTGTTAGCGCATGTTGCCCCCCAGCATTATTCTCTTCAACTTTAGCCGGTTTTGACAGTGTTTGCCGTGAACTCTCCCTTTAAAGCATTGTTTCGACAGTTTGTTCCGCGGGTAGCAGCGCATCTGAACCCTCACTGCATTTCTAGAGCGCACGCACAGATGATGTACAACACAAACATTCGAACGTGTCGAAAACACCCTTTTGTGCCTATAAAGCATCCATTCCAGGAGAGACGAGTGGCTGAGAGATGCCGTATTTCTCAAAATTATGTAGAAAAATTATATTATAAAAAGACAAAGTGTAGGAAATGGGGATTTTTAGGACGTTTGGCCCAAGATGATTTATCTTTGTGTAGTATAGTTTTATAAATGTTTAAAAAAATGTATTTAGAGAAAGCCATGATTGCCTTGCTACCTCAGACGTGATCAGTCATTCATTGGTGTGACTGTCGATTGATTTCACTCTCCACTTCCAAAAACAAGGCTAAGGAAAGGTCGTTCCATAATGTTGCACTTGCTACGCAAGTAAGCTGCCCCGATGACTACATTGTGTTTTTCCCTTGTTTTCCCGGCAGTCCTTTGATTTTTCTACATGGTGTATTTGTGGTGTGCTACCTTCAGTGAAGTGTTAGATTTGAACATTACTGGAACACCTGCGAAACATTGTTCTGAAGTTGATTCTAGTGAAGTCACCGTCACCGACACTGTGCTGTTCTGACCCGAGATAGATCGAGAAGACCGAACACACTACATGTAATGAGGTTCCATATGTTTTATTAAAAATAAAGTTTTTATAATGAGTGTTTTCTTGTGCTTTTTGTCTCATATTGTCTTGTTACACTAAGGGAAGAAAGTTATAATGGAATAGTTTTTCCATTGTCGTTCCAAAACATTTCTTTCTTTCTTTGGAACACAAAAGAAGATACTGGGTAAATTGTTCATGTTGCTCTTTTTCATACAGTGTAAGTGAAGTGACGTGACATGTGGCCAAGTATGGTGACCCATACTAGGAATTAGTGCTCTGCATTTATCCCATCCAAAGTGCACACACACAGCAGTGAACACACACACCCAGTGAACACACACCCGGAGCAGTGGGCAGCCATTTTTTTGCTGCGGCGCCCGGGGAGCAGTTGGGGGTTCGGTGCCTTGCTCAAGGGCATTGGGTAAATTGTTCATGTTGCTCTTTTTCATACAGTGTAAGTGAAGTGACGTGACATGTGGCCAAGTATGGTGACCCGTACTAGGAATTAGTGCTCTGCATTTATCCCATCCAAAGTGCACACACACAGCAGTGAACACACACACCCAGTGAACACACACCCGGAGCAGTGGGCAGCCATTTTTTTGCTGCGGCGCCCGGGGAGCAGTTGGGGGTTCGGTGCCTTGCTCAAGGGCACCTCAGTCAGGGTATTGAAGGTGGGAGAGAGCGCTGTACATTCACTCCCCCCACCTACAATCCCTGCCGGTACGAAACTCGAACCCGCAACTTTTGGGTTACGAGTCCGACTCTAACCATTAGGCCACGACTTCCAAAGTCGTGAATACAGTCAAGCTCCAAAAATTACCTAGAAGCAACCTAAAATGATTGTAAAAGTAGTAAAATACCTGTGTGTTATATTCCAAGATCCTTAAATAACTATAGGTTTGAGCAACAACATTTGTGTTTGAGCACACTATGAAACAATTCAGAAATTATTTTTGAAATATGAGGATCTGGAAAGCAAATGGCAGTTAACCACACAACAGTGAAATTTAATAAACAAAGGAGTAAATTGGTTGAAGTAAGCCTTGTTAGTCAACATAAAATCTAATTTTAACCCTTGGACTCTTAATACAGTATGTTATTTTGCACAACTTCAAATAAAATGTTTTGTACTAAACCCAGCTTATGCTTGTCAAAGTATATTTCTGCATGTCAGGTAAATTTGTTTTAATGTCAAGAATATTAGCCATGAATTATTAAATGAAGCATTTTTTTCTTAAATTGGCCGCTGCGCTGTAGGGTAAATGTCAGTGGCTCTACTAATAGTGCCAGTGCACTTTGCCTGGGAACAGGCAGGAAATACTATTAGACTGGTGAATTGAAAAAGCTCCAGGGCAGGGGTGTCAGGGCCAAATTTGTTTCTAAAATTCAGAGCGAGCACTTGCAAACACAAGGCCACCATTCAAAGAAAATGAAAAAGATTTTTTTTTCTTACAAATGAAGGGGGAAAAAACAAGCTTCCGCAGGCTCAAAGAAGCAATATTTCATATTTCACTATAACCTTGTTTGCAATGTGAATGTAAAAAGTGGCACAGTTTACCCATCTTGACTAGATTTGTATTAGTCTGCGGGGCTGCTGTAGCACCTCATATGAACCTACTCTATCACAAGCTTCAGCCTGCCTCAGCTGAACGAAGAGGGAAGATTTTCACGATGCTTTTCCTTCACAGCACAATTCTCCGGTGAGTGATTTTATTAAAAAAATACATCTAATGTCCATATATTGTTGCAGTGTGTCTCTGCTGGGGTCTGCTTACTGAATTCAACATCAATGCACAATTGACTATATTTACTTTAACACATCCCTTATTGTACAAGATTCATCAGTTCACGTTATTCCAAATAAAATTAAAAAAAGTTTTTGTAATCTTTCATCAAAATGTTATAACTTGCTAATGAACCCTTTCTGCTATCACAAATGCCTTTTTTAACTGCTTTCCTCCAAACACCTGATCCTCTTAGGATGAGAAATATGGATTATTCTCACTGACTGATGTCAGTTCATACTGTAATCTCTAGCTTCCGCTAACCATCATGCACACGTTCACGAGAGAGTGGCGTCCAGCAGATGACGTAGGCATAGCGTAAGCTCTGGTGAGAATATGCTAGTCTCGCAAGAACCAAGTTTTGTTTACAGCAAAGTAAAACCAGTGTCCTCTTGGCTTATATCGAAATCCTCCGACATTTTCCTTTACAGATCCTCGTTTTGTACTTCTAATTTGTGACCGGTGTTTTGTTTTGCTCTCTCTCCTCTGCGCTTCCGCGTTGATCACGTCTCATCAGAGCTTAGGCTACACTTACGTCATCTGCTGGAACGCCACTCTCTCATGAACACGTATACAATAGTTAGCGTAAACTAGAGATTATGGTTTATAAAGTTTAAATATGGATACTCTTCTTACATATGCGCATCACTTCGGATCAGAAGGCCTTTATTAACCTCCCGGAGCCGTGTGGAGCACTTTGTATGATAGGTAGATGCACTTTTTTGGGCTTCAAAATTTCAACATCCATTCACTGCCATTATAAAGCTTTGAAGAGTCAGGACATTTTTTAATATAACTCCGATTGTATTTGTCTGAAAGAAGAAAGTCATATACACCTATTATGGCTTGAGGGTGAGTAAATTACGGAGTAATTTTCATTTTTGGGTGAACTTTCCCTTTAAGTGTCCCTGTCAGTTCGCGTTCAAAAGAGTAAACATCAGGGACGTAGAAATGTGCACAGCTGAAAATGTGCATTTTGTTGTGGAGAACAGTATCTAGCACAACTTTTATGTGTATCTTTCCACAAAGAACGTGTATAGCTGATAAAACACTGGACCTTAGCCAATATGATGTTTCAAACACGCTTGGCTCAGATATTTCCAATCTAGAAATCTGGTTTCATTTGTAGACTGTCCGAATTCACTGCTAAAACTTCATTTCAATTGGGATATCCAGTATATACTTTCTAAAGACTGATTGATATTTGTTACACTATTTTCAAATTAAACTTTACGAACGTGTGCATTTTACATCATTTTGACAAGCATATGGCATGCACATAGAGGGAAAATTAAGAAACTGCCTGTAATTGGCAATGAAAACTTGCGTTACATTTTTTAAAACTAAATATATATATAGTATAATAAGACAGTAGTTATTATCGTTTAATAAATTACATCCATTTGGAAAATTACCAATTTCTGGTTTCACTGGGTGGGCCAGAGTTGAAGTGGGTGGGTCCATGCCCAGCTTCGCCACTGCTTCATATGTATTCTCACTCATAACTCAGGAGGCCTTCTCTCTCCTCAGTCCTCATCCATCTGCAGGGCATTAAGAGCAGATCTGTCCAGGGCTCATGGAGTATATATCCTTCAAGTGGAGTCAGAAATAGTGTAAAAATGAATTCTTGGCACATAAATGACCGAGCAAAGTCGTATTTATAAGTGGGAAACTCTGTAGCTGATACACAAGTTGCAGAGTTCTGACGTTGGAGGGAACGTGTCGATTTGAAACATTGTAGAAACACTGAACTACAACACAAATGTCATACCCCCTTTTCCCTTCAGAACTGCCTTTTTGGCATAAATTCCACAAAGTACTGGAAACATTTCTCAGAGATGTTGGTCCATTTTGACATGATAGCATCATGCAGTTGCTGCAGATTTGTCAGCTGCGCATCCATGAAGCAAATCTCCCGTTCCCCCACATCCCAAAGGTTCCCTACTGGATTGAGATCTGGTGACTGTGTAGGCCAGGGCTGTCCAAACTGGGTCCTGGAGGGCCGGTGTCCTGCAGAGTTTAGCTCCAACTTGCCTCAACACACCTGACTGGAAGATTCTATGCCTAGTAAGAGCTTGCTTAGCTGGTTCAGGTGTGTTTAATTAGGGTTGGAGCTAAACTCTGCAGGACACCGGCCCTCCAGGACTGAGTTTGGAGAGCCCTGGTGTAGGCCATTTGAGTAGAGTGAACTCATTGTCATATTCAAGAAACTAGTTATCCTGCTGGAAGTAGCCATCAGAAGATGGGTACACTGTGGTCATAAAGGTATGAACATGGTCAGCAACAATACTCAGGTAGGCTGTGGTGTTTAAACGATACTCAGTTGGTACTACGAGGCCCAAAGTGTGGTAAGAAAATATCCTCCACACCATTAAACCACCAGCAGCAGCCTGAAGCACTGATGTAAGGCATGACGGATCCATGCTTTCATTTTGTTTAGGCCAAATTCTGAACTTACCATCCGAATGTCGCAGCAGAAATCGAGACTCATCAGACCAGGCAACCTTTTTCCAATCTTCTATTGTCCAATTTCGGTGAGCATGTGCAGTTCAGAGTTCAGCGTTCAGAGATGCTCTTCTGCATTTTTGCTAGTGACCAATCACTTCCCAAAAATTAAACAGGGGTGTCGCTAGAGCCTTTGTATGGGGCACGAGCCCTAGTACTGGTGAAAAGTTAAAAACACCCCTGGAATGATGGTGAATAAACATCACAAGAAGGTTGAATGCTATAAAGACACCTGCGTTATCACCCATGCTTTCAAATAAAGTAATAGTATGCATTCATATTTAATGGTGGTTTGTTTTTGTGACTCATGCTTTGATTCAAACATCATCAGTTACTAAAAAAAACCTTTTTCACAATCACAGTACAAAAATGGATATCTTCATTGTGAAAGAAAGTTCTGGGGCGTCTTGTTTCTTCTGTCTTTACTCCTGAAATGAATGAATCTCTGAGGGTGTGTTTGCATTATACTGTAAGCAGAGAAAGGAAATGAGCTGGAACTAAGAGAGAGAGCGAGAGAGGCAAACTAATTAGTGGCAAAGCTTGTTTCCTCCCCTCCTCTGTACGGTCCAGAAGTTCCCGGAAGGACATTACTGTGGTGTTAGTCTTTAGTAAATCACGCCTGTCCCTCTGTACGGAGTTTGATGTTATCATTAGTTGTTGGAAGTGGGAAGCAGATACATCTTGGTCATCTCGGGCGCTGTCAGAAAGCGGCTGTCTGACCTCAGCAGTGCTGCTGCCAATATATTAGTCTCACTGGTGGGCAACTTTACAGCTTCATTTTT